GTAACTAAAGTATCAATATTTTGATTTAAGTATCAATTCTCTAACATAAAGTTCTGAAATCGGTAGTTTTGATATTTCAGTATCGATCAGCACATCACTAGTTTTTGTCAGAGATCATCTTCAGTTGAGAAATGAAGCTTAGGTGTAAACTCAGACTGGAAGACTGTCCACCTCACCTGCTCCATCCAATCACCACGTCTCGCTCCCAGCTGCAGTCACTCAGCTTCATCAGATCCTCACCTCACTGGACCAATCATCTCACTGGGATCCAGGTCTAAAGGTCCAGCACCCAAGGATCAGTCTGCTCTCCTGACGTGTCCACCTCCTCTCAGTCATGTCGTACTGTTTATTTGTGAAAGTTTTACAAGCTTTACCCCAGACTTCAATACAGTAAATTAAATGTGGAACAATTATAGTGTTATACAACATAAACAGTGATTTATCATTGAACAGTTCTCTTACTTTGTACAGGACTCCAATAGGTTTGGCTATTTTTGTTCTTAAACCATTTATATGATGTTTCCATGTCAGTTTTTCATCAATAATAACACCTAGAAACTTCACTTCACTGACTCTACAGATCTCAACATCATTAATTTTAAATTAAACATCTACAGTTCTCTTATTGTTACAGAAAATCATATAATTTGTCTTATACAAGTTCAATGATAATTTATTTAGCTGAAACCAACTTTGTATTTTCATAAAGTCTGTCTGTACTTTCTCCAACATTTGTTCTATATTTTTACCGGAACAAAAGAATGTTGTATCATCAGCAAATAGAACACGCCCAAAAAGATCTGAGACATTTACCAAATCGTTTACGAACAAAATAAATAACTTTGGTCCGAGAATCGAACCCTGAGGCACTCCACATGAGATGTTACAAAATTCAGATCTTACATTATTTATTTCTACAAATTGTTTTCTATCTTCCAAATAACTAGATACCCACTGTAATACAGGTCCTCTAATACCAAATTTATTTAACTTTTCAAAAAAAATACTATGGTTCATAGTATCAACTGCTTTTTTATACCAACAAAAATACTGACACAGTACTGTTTTTGATCAACAGCAGTTGTTATTTGTTCTATTAATTCAATCAGAGCCATCGATTTAGAATTTTTTGGTCTGAACCCATATTTACTGTTACTTCATATATTCTGCTTATCAATCAATTTTTCAATCTAATMAAAAATAATTTCTCTAAAATCTTTGAAAATTGTGGTAACAGGGATATTGGTCTGTAGTTGTCAAACACACGTCTTTCACCATTTTTAAAAAGAGGAATTACCTTTGCTATTTTCATTTTTGGAAATATGCCAGCTGAAAATGATTAATTACAGATGTATGTAAACGGTTCAATCACAGTGTTATGGTGATATTTATTTAACAAAGACAGAAATACGTGGTCCAAGAATGAAGGTACTCTGTGAGATGATCAGCTGAGTTTTATTGCAACAGCAGGAAACACAGAGAACAACCTGTCCTGTCTCTGTTCCTCTGCTTCTCTCTGTCACTGTCTCTCCACACTACTCACTGTGTCTCCACAGGCCTCATATATATATTAACAAACACCATAATGTCATCTTAACAAGATTTGATACAAGGTCAATGGACAACACAAAGATAAACACAAGTGATATCTAAGAATGACTGTTGTTAGCAGATCTTGTTCTGACTTTAATCATTCTGTCTGCAGATGAACAGCATGTCATGAAAACCTAGGTCATTAAAGGATGACATGAATTACTGGATTAAACATAAAGTATTAGWTCCATTACAACAGAATTCATTGTTTTTTACAAACATCATGTCCATAAACCCAGTCTTTTGATCTCTTGTCTGCAAGATTTTTAACAATAGTCATTATTTCTTCTTTGTCAGTTTCATAAAGAAATAAACTTTTGACACAACCTGTAACAGTGTGGTAACATTTCTATCTACTTTAGGTGTTTTAGATGCAAGACTTGGGCCAACAATTACAAAATAATGATTGAATCCACTTGCTTTCATTTTGATCATGAATTTTAATTCCTTTACAAAATACTGTGGAGTACCTGATTTTAGTTTATGATTTTTCAAAACATTATTCATTATTTGCCATGTTGTTCTTGTATCACCATTATTTTTGTCTAATATCTTACTATAAAACTCCTTCTTGTGTTTTCATATAATCCAAACCAACTTTTTATATTTCTTGTATCTTTCTTCTGATTCTTTTGTTGTTAGTCTCTAGAAACACGAGTATAAGTTGTTTTTTACAAGTATTTTTCAGCCCTTTGGTTTATCAGCATCTTTGTGATAAATAAAATGTTCATTTGTTGTTGTTTTCTTTGATGACGTCACTGTTAGSTGAAACAGCCTCTCAGGATATTAATATAAAAACTAAACATATCAAAACTGCCCTGGTTATTTTACTAACAGAACCACTGATCTGTGTTTGGATGAAAGCGGCAGCTGAGGTCCGACCAGCAGGGGGCGGAACCAACCTTCCACCTCCGGTTCCACCCGGAGGGTTCATCCGGGTGCACACTCAAACATGGCGGCCAACTTGGAGCAAATTTTTCAGGATTTTATTTTGAAAAAGATCCGAGAAATCGAACATCAAAAGGATGAAAATCCGTAAGTTTATAATTATTAATAATAAAAATAAATGATCTTAGTTTGTAGCAGGATTTAGTTTTAACGTGTTTTTGTTTTTTTATCTTAAATCTGCTGAAATGACCGAACAATAAAACCTGTTTTAGACCGACATGATTCACTTATTCTGATTTATGACGTCATGTTTGTTCTGGAGACGAGATCTACAGGTTCTGGTCCGCGTCCAGAACCGAACCAGGTCTTCTTCAAACCCGTCAGAGACGGACAGTAACCCGGTGTGTTTCCAGCTGTGCAGGTCCAGATGTGAAGCCGGAACCGGATCAGACAGGTCCAAATGAAGACAGGCAGGACAGCCGGGGGGACCACCTGAGGGACCACCTGGGGGACCACCTGGAGGACCACCTGGGGGACCACCTGGAGGACCACCTGGGGGACAGCAGCTCCCAGAGGAGGCAGAGGAAACAGAAGAAGAAGAGGAAGAAGAAGAACCGGGACAAGGACAGCAGTTCTGGTTCTGGGTCGGATCTGGAGGCCGAGCTCGGAGCCCAGCAGAGGTAAACATGTGTCTGTCCTTCAGGGGGAACCCTCAGCTACTACCACAGCTGGATCAGCACCAGAACTGGATCAGTTCTTAGGTCCAGATTAGCTCCTGTCCAGCAGGTCAGGACATATTTTGCTAACAGGCGTGATTCATGACAAGCTGGTCCTGCTGACGACCTAAAAACCCAGAACCAGAACCAGAACCAGAACCAGAATAATGGCTCGGGTTCTTCTTTCCTTTAGCTCATCTTTTTCTAGCTGAACTTTAGCTACTTTTAGCCTCTCCCACCGTCAGGTTTCAGCTACTGATCAGCCGTTCAGTCTTAGCCAGTGTTTGGATACGTTCAGCTAGCATTTAGCTACTATTGGWTTCAGCTGCTGTTTCAACATTTGTATATAGCCTTTGTCTACTGTTAGCTTTTAGTTAATCTTTTGCTACTTTTAGCCTTTAATTAATATTTAAATTGTTTTAACAGTTGCAGTATTTAGCTCTCCTTTTGTTTGTTTCATTTTTTCACTCTTGTTTTTGTTTTTGACACTTTTAGCTAACATTTACCTACATTTAGTGTTTATGCTCCTTTTGTCACTTTCGTCAAGTTTTTAGCTGTTTTTAACTGATCAACTTGTTTTCTACTTTTTGCTAGTTTGGGTTCTGACTTCAGCTAGCTGTTTTATGCTTTCAGTTTATTAGCTAGCCTTTTGCTKATTTTAGCTTTTAGCTACTTTTAATGTTGGGCTTTTAGCTACATTTCTGATTGTTTTAGCGTTCAGCTACTCTTGGAAGTTAGCATTTTTCTACCTTGAGCTTTTAGCTACAGATCAGTTATATTCAGTTAAATCAGTGCTAGTTAGCCATTTGCTACTTTTTGCTAGCCTTTTGTTATTTTTAGCTTTGAGCTAGCGTTTGGTTTGTTTGCTAGCCCTTTAGCCAGTGTTATCCTTCAGCTTGACATTTGGGGCTTTTAGTTTTTAGCTCGTCTTGTGTTCATTTTAGCTTTATGCTATCATGTAGCTACTTTAATAACGTAGCTAGCCTTTTAAAATGAGGTCATCTTTTCTTCCGTGATGTCGGTTCGTATCTTGTTGTTTGATTTTTGTGCTCCGTCAGCAGTTTACACGTTCAGCTCCTTCGGGACATGCTGGGCGTGACTTTTGATACGTGAGGACTTCGTATTGTTTGAGACATTTTAGCTGTTTCTGTCATGTTTCCAACRTCTTTAAAACCTTTAAAATGTTCATAAATCTTTACAGAACTTTTTTTCTGCTTTTTGTAACAACTTCCTGCTAATTTCTGCTTCCTTCGGCTTCTATTTTGCACATTTTAGCTTTGTTCTGCCTTTTTAGCTGCTATTCTTCTGCTAATTTAAACCCTTCTTATGCTTCTTTCATTTTTCTCAACTTTTTCAGCTTATTTTAGCTACTTCCTGTCCATTTCAGCTGRTTTTTTGTATTTTAAGCTATTTTTAGCTCATTTCAGCTTTCGGCTTCTTATTGCTTAACTCAGCAAACATGAAGTGAACATCTTCATTTAAAGTTTASTTGGTTTTCTGTTTGGTTTAGCTTTAGCTTTAGCTCATGCTGTGTTTTGTTTTTGTTTGTTTCGGCTGGTGTTGGTCTTGTTCCATGCTATGTGCTTCAGCTGATTTTGTTTCTGTCGGTTTTCAGCTCTTTTCTGACCTCACTGCTTTGTTTTTGTCTCGTAGAAGAAGAACGTCGTCACCAGAGAAGAAGGAGCTGAGTAAGTTGGTTCTGTTTGGGTCTTGGGTTCTGGTTCCATCAGTCTGTACCTGGAGGAACCAGACCTGCTGGTCCCTGAAGTTCTGGTTCTTGTATTCAGGTGAGGATCATGACAGTAAGTCCAGGAGCCACAAGGAGAAAAAGAAGAAGAAAAAGAAGAAGAAGAAGAAACGTAAAAGTAGAGACAACTCGTCGGACTCGGACTCTCAGAGGGAYGATGGACCTGGTCCGTCTCAGAGACAGAGACAGGAGCTGCCTGACATCATCCCTAAACAGGTCTGCAGGTCCAACTGGTTCTGGTCCATTCACACAGGACCTGTGTGTTTGTGTCCAACAGGACGTGTGTGTTTGTGTCCAACAGGACGTGTGTGTTTGTGTCCAACAGGACGTGTGTGTTTGTGTCCAACAGGACCTGTGTGTTTGTGTCCAACAGGACAGCTCCAATCAGGACAAAGTCAGTCAGAAGACGATGAGTCCCTGTTCTTCATCACATTTCTGCTCCAAACAGAGGAACTCTCCCTCTACATCCAGACCCTTCCACAGCAGGTCCAGGACTCGGTCCCCGTCCAGTCCACAGTACCACAGAACCAACGCCAGGTACCAACAAAACCTGAATATGTTCCTGATGTCCTCCATCTGTCTATTTGCCTTTAACGTTTTTATTACTTCATAAAGATTTACAGATGATCAGACCTGCCCAGCATGTCTGCCACAGCTAAATCAGACCTGTCCAACATGTCTGCTACAGATAAACCAGACCTGTCCAACATGGCGGCCACAGCTCAATCAGACCTGTCCAACATGTCTGCTACAGATAAACCAGACCTGTCCAACATGGCGGCCACAGCTCAATCAGACCTGTCCAACATGGCCACCACAATTAAATCAGACCTGTCCAACATGTCTGCTACAGATAAACCAGACCTGTCCAACATGGCGGCCACAGCTCAATCAGACCTGTCCAACATGGCCACCACAATTAAATCAGACCTGTCCAACATGTCTGCCACAGCTAAATCAGACCTGTCCAACATGGCTGCCACAGCTAAATCAGACCTGTCCAACATGGCCACCACAGTTAAATCAGACCTGTTCAACATGTCTGCCACAGCTAAATCAGACCTGTCCAACATGGCTGCCACAGCTAAATCAGACCTGTCCAACAT